TATATATACATATAAAAAAAACTATATATTATATCAATTATCAAATAATTAGTCTAACATACAATGAGTTTGCTTAAAGAGTTCATTACCATTTCTGTTTCATTTATTGAAGTATATACATCAGCTAAACAGTACTTGAACCCCTCTATAGATCGACATTCGTCAAAGTGTCCAAGTGAAGCCCAGTTGCCAACCAACACGCCGGATGGTACTTTTCCCATTGCATCATAAGCTGAAATGTTTCAGTAACTCAAAGAAAATATTTTATAAACTTTTTAAAGTCAAAGTCTAAAAAAGAAGTATCTGATTTAGATCTAGCTATAGAATAGTTCCCAGTGGTGGATTCATGGGGCCCAGCCAGCCTGGGCCCCCTAAAATGAGAAAAAAAGAAAATTCTATTCAATGAGTCTAAGAGTGCCATTTCCGGCTTCTAGAGGTGCAATAATCATAAATTTTCTTTCCTCAGCCCCAGCCATGGTGGGTCTGAAGGAAGTATATAGACCGTCCATCTGTGAAAGTCCCTCTCTATTTCAAATTCCTTCTTGATCCGCCACTGGTTCCAACTCTCATGTTGGTATACTTGTTTATACATTATTCCCACTCAGATCATGCGTTAACACGGGCAAGTAATAATAAATGATTTACCTACCGAAAGTATTTGTAAAGTTCTCAAAAAGTTGTTTTAACTCGACGTTACATTGCGATTCCAATTCACCCCGCGGACTAGGCCTAAACAGGTCACCGACTTGGGCACTTCCTGGTAGACTTATCCCTACTACAGCCACTTCACGAAGGGTGCAGAGAAGAAACATCAGCTGGTAGAATGCACCCATCACGAATCTGACCTTAGAACGGAAATGAACGCGGCATTCAACAGTGAGTTTAGCCTATAATCATGATCATTACTAAATTGTCCCAGTTAGATCACAGGTGACCAATTAGTCCCTTATTAAAACTTAGTTTCTGTTTGAGTTGTTAAACTTTCACTGTGGTGACGATGATGGCTTTTTATCGCTCTATCGGTACTTTAATCAGAAGCAAAACCAATCAGCTTCCAGCAAGTACATATACAATACTGTCATTGGTTAATCAAAGAAAGGAGGCGGGAATCGGTTCTCGCTGAAGTTACATAATACTTGGAAGTTATTAACCATGGAGGAAATATATTTAACTATAACTAATTTATGTTTCTGCAGACGTTCTGATAGGAAAAGCAGTGCTCATCTCTCCCTATTTAAAATTGAACAGAGACACCATTCTATCACCAATATTAGGCCTACAGAACAACAAACCAAGTTAATTATAAACAAATTTCATCTTTATATGATATTATATCAACAAACAAATTATGGTAGAAACATACAAAACCATTAATGTCGATATTGTTTACATTTCCTAATAAGAGGGTAGGCCAGAAAAACATTATTAACCAGCACATTTTCTGCAAGTGTATTTTGAGTATTGTTGAGTTTTATTACTATCGTAACACCATCCTATGTTTATCCATGTTTACCTTTTTCAGAGAGGAATTTACTCTTACTTTATCCATCTTTATCTTCCTTTTAGGGTTTCCCCCAGTTTTAATGCAAATATATCTTAGGCGTACGTAAATGCTCGATTAAACGCCATGGCGCTTAAACATTTTTTGGAGGCTTTGAGTGCGGCGCTTATTCGAGCGCGGCACTTATTTGAGGAGCAGCGCTTGTTAGAAAAATACAGTAGAACCCATATATTAAGGGACACTTCGGGACCAAAAAAGGTGTCCCATTAATAGACACTAACCAAAAACGTGAAATTGTCCTCTAAGTAGGGGTTTTTGGCATGTTCTTAAAACTTTATTTTAATTGACCTAAGAATGAGTTACAGTTTAATTATAACTAATTTATAACAATAATTTGCAATGTAAAAAATAATTCATTTAAGAAATTAAATTAACAGATATGTAAATTAAAACTACAAAATGTGTGTATGTTCCCGATATTGTTCCTTTATTCGAGTGCTATTTTAATGAGCAAATACTCTTTTTTTTAAATGTTGAGCTTTCTATTCAGTGGCGGATCTGGGTTGAAATTTACGGGGGCGGGGGGTCAAAAAGAAAGGGGTGGGGTCTTACCCCGGGAAAATGTTGATTCCTAGATGGCGGGAAATGAGCTTTCCAGACTTCTGAAGTGTCTAATGACTTTTAAGTTCTTCAAAATTCAAGGTTTACATACCGGGTACATATTCATTTTCCATGAATCGATAAACCCCCAAAAAGAAAGGGAGATCGGGGTCCTACACTGGGAAAATTTTGAAAAAAGTAGGGGTCTATAAATTTTTTATTATTATTATTATTATTTTGTTATATTATTTTATTTTTTATTTAAATTTCATTTTGCCCAAGTGGGGTGTCAGGACCCCCTGATCCCCTTCAAATACGCCAGTGCTATTGGATGCACAAGGAATGCTATTAATAGATGTTACCAGAAATCAGGGTACAGGCTGTCTGGATAGATTAGAATCCTATATCAAAATACACAAAAACAAGAAATGTCCATGGTTAATGGTCAAAATTGACAAGATTTTATTTATACGAAATAAAACTTGCACTAGGCATCCAATTCCCCTTCTAAGATGGAAAAATTCTGGTTTGGTCTTAAAGTTTATTGCTCAAAATGTGTCAAAATATAAATTTGAATGATTTTTCTCTTATTTTGTGACTACTGTAGTTGTTTTGATACAATAAAAAAATTGTCCCCTTAATAGTGGTGAAATTGTATAGATTTGACCATTTTGCACACTCAAAAAGTATCCCCGTCCCCTAAATAAGGGTATTGCAAAGGAGGTTTTCTACTGTACTGGCGTGGCGCTTTCCATGCCCGTTCCCATGTTATTTATATGACGTATTCCCGGTAGGACTATCATGGTCCTACGTCATCGTAAATAAACGTTTAAAGAAATACTTGTGTCTCAAATGTGTTATTTATTTATTTTAGCACTGTATAAATTGTAAGAAACCCTGTTTCTCAAAGTACTGTATTTCATTGCACACAGTTATTATAACTACGATCGCCGCGGCGCTTATTCGAGAGCGGCTCTTAGCGTAAAACGTTACGTTTAATGCAGCGCTTATTCGAGAGCGGCGCTTGTTCGAGCATTTATGGTACTTGCAATTATAATTAGGCTACAATATCGTATGAACTCGTGTACTTTCTTTGTCATTGAAACAAATCATTAAATATTATTATCAACATGACTTAGCGTGCTCTAGGATTTATAAAGGTATCTGCACTTAATGTTGTAAACGATATGGTGTTACCGGTAGGCCTGCTCTATGCACGTTACCTTTTAACATTCTATAAGCCTGTATGATCCATAAAATTTGAGCCTGACCCTTGATCGACCCTTTTTCACCTCGAGAAGGTGATGGTTTAAAAGGGTGGTAATCAGTTTAGCTCATAGTGACCAGACTATTTCCTTGTGGCCATTTCTTGTTGCAATATTTTTTTTAATCTTGATTTTGTTCTGTTTTGTATAGTAAATTATTTATCTTTTATTTTAAATTTTTCTATTTATGTTAGTTTAATTAATTATCTTCTTGTTAATTCTTTTAGATTAATTTGTTATTTCAATTATTTTTCTGTCTAATGTGTCAATTTTATTTTTTCCTTTTTGTTTTTTTTTTCTTGCTTTAATGTTTTCCTTAAATCATTATTTTATAAAGGCTTATGTATATACTGTAGGCCTATATATGCTTTTTTCTGAATTTTATTATTATTATTTCTTTATTATTATTTTTTTTTAATTGTTTTTTCCTGCTTTAATTTAATTACTTTGTTTATGTTAAAGATCTAGTTTAATTTTTATACTTCTGTTCTAATTGTATCAACTCATCCTTGATGGACCACCCTCACAAAATAGTGTTGAAATAAATAAAAATAAATAAAGAAAGACTTTTCATAATTATGCTTTTCGGCATAATTTAGATACTTTTAGCATGCATCTAGTATGTGCTAGGCATAATTTTGGCAAATTTAGCATAATTTTAAGAAGAAAAATATCTTAAACTGGTCTTGTGAATATACATGAGGCCTACCCCATCACATTGACCAGAGGCAGGAAAGCACATTTCCGAGCATCTTTAAAACAAAAACAGTGGAGCCCTGATCTCCTCCAAATTACACTACCATCATCAAGTCTGCATTTTTTCCCCAAGGTCTTTGCCCTGCACCCCGACTACAGAACCTTTCTTATTCTCTAGTAGTATATGCCTGAAAATTGTCGAAATGAACTGTATATTGGGAATAGCAACTCTATTTGCGCCGTTTTGTATAATTTTCAATTTTGTAAATAGGATTGTTGAAGCTTCATTTTAACTACCGTATAGTATTGGTGATGTGTTGATGCGGAATCAACTACTCCAAAAGTACACATACCCTCCCACAAAACCCCACTCCTCTGACCATGACACACCTACTTGTCCTGAACACCTAGTTGAGAGCAGCGTGACCACTCACAATTTTTGATATACAGTACCCAATGACTGGGTCGAAATTACCCAAGATTCAGCATAAATTGCCCAAAATTACCCAAGCTTCCTGAAAATGCATTAAAATTTGAAAAAAAACCCGTGTTTTTCGCATTTTTTATTGTAATTGTTTGAGTTAATTAGTAAAATTAATTAATATTCATGAGGTGATAATACAGATAGAAAAATACGCCCTCAGTCGGCCAGTGTTATCAGTAGATCAATGATCAAGTTTTATTATGTAATGCATTAATTAGGTAAGATCAATGGCAAAGCAAATCACAAATAAACAATTATGAACCCATGTTTATAGCACTTAACCGTCAATTAACAATGTTATGTGCACTTCGTTGAGTTTTGCTTACTTGAATGGACTGACATACTTTGTTACTTCTTAATTCTTCCTCTATGACGAAAATATTTAATTTTATTTGTAAAAATAAAATACCCAAGGATTTGAACGGAATACCCAAGAACCTAAGACCAAGTCAAAATACCCAAGATCTTGGGTAAATACCAAAGCAGTGGTCACACTGGTTGAGAGGCAGCATTGTCTGGCATTGCCAACATTGCTGCCTCTCACATTATTCCCCTCCAATTACACCAACTTCTCTTTTCAAAATGTACCTTCCCAACCTCACTCAATTCTAATATCGCTCTCCTATAAACCATAGACCATTTTCGTAGAGTAAATTACGCGCAGTCAAAAGAATAATATTTTGATTATAAGAATGAGATTATAACAGCTATATCTAGTTGTTGTATTTTTCTTAATTTCAAATTAATTGAAAATAATTAATCTTCCTAATACACGTGTCATTTTCATTTATTATTTTATTGGAAACTATCATTTTAGGCTAAATGGTGTCGCGCAATAATGCATAGTGTTTAAAAAAACCCACAACGATCCTTATTTAGGCCTGTAAGTTCTCAACAAGGATCGGAGTCGTCTGCTAGCTCATCAATAAAGGTGCGAAATGAGTTGATACACGTTTGTTGTGTTTAATTTGAATTATTACACTACCATTTAATCGCTCAATTTCCTATCTGTGACAATCGACACGCGAATTTGCGTAACGTAGGATAGTTTGGTAAAATCTAATGAATTATTCATAAGCATCCTTACAGAACGTATTTTGCGCATGCACTGTTTTCAAGTCTGTGGCAGCCTCAGTGATCAACTGTTCTGTGCACCGCGAGTGACCGAGTGTTCGATTTTGATTGGACGGCACACTTTTCTTTGTCACGTCTTGTTGAATCAATGCAAGAATAAAACAAGTGATTGATAATATAGATTCTGAAGTTACAGTAAATACATTTACTTTCAGTCTGAAAATACACAAATATTATTTGTCTGCAATAGTTGTTCAATTAACGATATTAGGACTACGAAACTCGATTCTGACACGATACCAATCGATTGCATCTTATATGATGCCAAGACAAAATAATTAAATAAGATAAGGTAAGATAATTAAATTCACTCACAACACATCAGTTATCTCACAAATTCGAAAGACACTCATTTTACATGCGTTTAAAGCACATGTGCATAGTTCCTGGTTGCGGTTGCAATCGCATTTGTTCTGATACTACAGACAGAGATAATCATTTAACAGAACTAGCTAACACATTTAAGACCAATGACCATGACACACAAGTAGTTTTCAAACAGATAGAGAAAGCTAAGCGTATACCACGCCAAGACCTACTGCAATACAACGAAAAGACATCCTCTAACCGCTTGTAACTACGTATCACCCATCACTCAACAAACCCCTCAAGCGCATCATAGATGATCTACAGCCCGTCCTACATGACAAAGCCCTCAATGATATTTTTAAAGACAAACCTGTCATTGCCTGTAAACAGCCCCCTAATCTGAAACAACATTTAGTTAAAAGTAAACTTCCCACTAACAGCAACAATGGCACATTCCCTTGCAATACTAGGACATGCAAACTTTGTCCTCATATCAAATCCAGTAACATTGTCAAAGGACCTAATGATAATAATTTCAACATAAAAGGCACTTACAACTGCATGTCATCCAACCTAATATATGCTATATCATGCAATATTTGCCCTAATGCTCTCTACATCGGACAAACTGGAAAAAAACTAAGACAACGGATTAATGGTCATAAACATGACATCAAACACAAACTCACCCAAAAACCTGTAGCTAATCATTTTGCATACTACAACCGCATTTGTTCTGATACTACAGGCCTTAACATTGATCGAGGATTCCTCGCACATTACCGTCAATAATTATTTCTCATCATTGTATGTATATTTTTATATTTCTATAGCTGCCTTATTATTAACTTATTTTTGTCTCATAGTTACCTTACTGTATTTACTACCTATTTACTGTTTTTATCATTGACTTTGACATAGACTTATTCTGTATGCTATTTCCCACAGTTTCTTATTAATGATCTTTTGTTCTTTTAATACTGTTTATTTAGATTGCTTATTTCGGCAGACTTGTACTTACTTTGTACACCATTCTTTGTTGTTTTAGGACCGCCTCCATTATTTCAGTTATATATTATAATTGTTGCTTATCTCATTTGTATAGTCTCCTGATGAAGTCCACTGTGTGGACGAAAGCTAGAGAATAAATTATATATTGTTAGTCTCAAAAGTGCTGCTGTTATTTACTTTATTTTGTTGAATAATTCATGAGATTTTACCAAACTATCCTACGTTACGCAAATTCGCAATCGGCACATTGTATAACGCCCTCTGTGTTAGGGACAGTTATGAATATTACTGTAGAGGGTAGCATACAGAAAATATTACACATTATGTTGTACAAAGAAATCATATAAAATTTGGTAGGTCCATTAAGATAATGCACGCAATATTTCATCCCCATGTTATATTGTTTCACCAATTAGTCTTGGTATGCTTTGTAAACAGAGTGATGCGCCCCCTATAGTATTCTCTCTTTTCCCGCGCATGAGAAATGATTCACTCTAATAGGAATTTGGACTGATACTTAATGTGATGTATATGATACTGAATGTATATGATACTTAATGTGTATACACATTTTCATCATAATGAAAATTGTCTATGATGTTAAAAATGGTCATGTTATCATACTGGATCTTTGTCAAAATACGACTTGTAATGATAAAAAATAATTGGTCAGAGCATATGATTTCTTGTTTTATCCTTTAATGTATTTCTAACTTAAATACTAAAAATAATACAACATTAGTATTTGACATTGTTAATCGTGTAACAAGAACTCTAGTTTCCCCATTTATTTATTCGGTATATCGAAATGGACCTTTCCAGTGAGTTTTAATCAAGCAATTAAGGAATCAGAACGTATATTCATCAGACGAGGAAGACGCACATGTCCCACAAAGACATACAAAACTCGTTACAGCTGCCGTTTTGTGTGACCTTAACAACAATATCCAAGGGGCGGGGCTTAGCGGAACTGCCCATTTGTCATTTTCATTACTCGATTAGTAAATTTTAACAATGATAATGATTATACCTTTGGATTAAATTAAATATTTAAAACCTCATTTATGGCAAAAAATATGTTATTTGTTTGATTACAGAAATATATAAAATATATAGGCTTAGACCTAAATAATAATAAACTGGACTAAATTATTTGCTGAAACTTCACTTGATTCTAGCCAGCCTGACGTATAAACGATGATAGTTACTTATGCTTATTCACATATACCTAGCTAACTCACAATAAGTAATTACTAATGGATTTTTGTTCCAAATTTACTTCGGTAGGCCTATATTATTACAATTGCATTCTTGTGTCTTGCATAAAAGACATAATCGAAATCTATTAGCCCGCATATACCAAAATCTATCTTACGCTTCATCATTTGCTAGTTGATTGAGCGTTGTAATAACCTCATGTGCCGGCTTAGCTTGTTCAAAGCCCTATCCCTCCCACGTGTAACGTGTTGGTTACAGCGTCCATCTGCGTCGGGGGTAATTTTAGCCGTCGTTGGCGATACACCGCCATATATTTGTTTCATCTAGCCTTACGAAATACAATACAATAGATAACAAAAACCACAAAATTGGGTGCTGAAAAATAGATTTTGACCAATTTTACTCAATATTAAAACTCGAATATTAATTATAAAAATGGTCAACTATATGGTATTATTATATACACTGTACGTTGTAGAATCTATGTACATTTTTTAAAATATCTAATTTTCTTTTAATTTTTGTTGTTTAAACATTCGATCCCTATACGCTGCCCCATACAATGCAAGATGACAGACAGTTTCTCAAAATATACATCTTTTAAACCGGAGACTCGCTGCTCCCCACGGTCGACGGCCGACGCGACTCTAGGGAGAACGCAACACCACGACGCACGCCCAACGGATCGTTTTAATGACGATCCGTTCGGATTGTCATCGACAATCAGGAGACGGCATCGACAATCAGGAGACGGCGTCGTCGTTCACAGGAAGCGGAGTTCGATTTGTCGTACCACAGTCGTACCGCCGCATATTTCCTAAGATTACATAACCTCCGGAAGAATGTATTCCTTCGTATGAGAGATGTTTTCGATAATACATACATTCATACATTTATAGTATTAATACAGTGCACCCTCCAATTCGAGACCACTTTTCCAAATACCCAAATAACAATCTTCAACCTTTTAACACCAAGCTAGCCCTCTAATTGGAGACCAACCCCGAGACCACCCCAAATTTTCAGGTCCCAAGGGTGGTCTCGAATTGGAGGGCGAACTGTAATGTCATAATTAGTGCATCAGTATGTCTTCTTCCAGGTACATTTGGTGTTCAATTTATTGTCCCTCCGTTTCCTACCTGCTTCATGCACTTTTAGTAATTGTTGAGGATGTTCGCATAGAGCAATTAAAACGCATCGAACAAAAGCAACGTTCATGTAGCCTGTTTTTTTTTGCGTCAAATCGGATCTAGTGTGAACCGAGTCTTATGTGCCATGACACCGTTACTTTCTCATCCGTCATGATAGGTTGAATTTGTGATATTCAACGCAATACTCCCATTGGTTGCAAGTTTAGAAAAAGGAATGACACGTGTTATAAAGCTATATCATTATCATACTCCATGGTACCTAATCATTATTGGTTTCCTCGTTATTTTATATCTCATTATAGCTGGACAACAATCGACTCATATCGGCGGTTCATAGGTTAGAGTCTCATATCTAGGCGGTTTATCAGAACCGTGCAGTTGTACTTGATGTGTGGATTTGTTTGGTATTTTCTTTTTCATAGTCGTAAGATTATTGTCACGTGGTATAGGATCACCATTCATTGTCTCGTATGTGAATGCACTTTGAACTGTCTGAATTCCGTTGGATACGGGGTTAGAGGTCAAAGCAAAATAGTCTCCTTGCTGATGGCGGCTCCTGGATCCCGGAATAGGGTCTTCGTCTGTGTCCATTAGGAAACTAGTATTTCGGAAGTTTTGCTCGTTAGTCTTTCTCTCTTTTTCTCTCAATACAGCTTTTTTCCTAGTTTTAAGAACGGAATGGCGACAAACAAAACAGAGTGTAATAACAATGACGACACTGATTACCCCAATCATGCAGCCGAGCATTGTGTCTACCTTTTCAAAAAAGTGTTTGCTTTGGGCTGCGTCTGTGGAGACAGAAAAAACACCAGAGATTACAACATAGGTTGACTGAAAAAATGACTAAAAGATACATACAGACGTACACACATACAAAAAGATTTTCATTATTTACTTGGTGCCTTGATTAATAATTGGCACGTTATATTATTATAATATTGTATATAAACCCACACACACACACACACACATATTTGCTACCCGCAAAACCGGTACCAACATTTTTTGTTGTAAGAAACACAATGCTAATTTTAAAGAAACTAGTTACTTTGAAATTGACAAAATAATTCGTGAAAATATTGTAAAGCGGAATTGAGAAATGACTTACCACAGTTTTGTTCATCTCTTGGTAGTTTGAGACAATCGACAATTCCGTTACATGCAAGCTCTTTATCAAGACATATTTCATCGTCACAAGGAAATGTTAACGTTTCATTACAAGGTGCTGTGAAGGAAAAAATGACGACGTCATAAAAATGAATTGTGTCGTAATTTTCAAATCAACTAAAGTTTTTGGTGATCGTCTGTTTACATAAATATTATAAATTAAAGTGACATTAGGATTAGATCCGGTATAAACTTATAAAAAAACTTCGTGGTAGCGATGACTGACTTAATTAAATTTCAAACGTATTTTTTCATATTAGCACCTTACTGTCGAATATCGTCATCGGCATCATCATAACCGCTCTTATCAGCCTGTAGTAACGCGATGGCCTGGGGACTATTAAAATCAAACCCGTGAATAGTCAGTCTGGCAGTCTTAGAAACAGACAATAAATAAGATAATAAGTCCATGACGGTGAATTTGACACGATATTGTATAGCACGCCAAGACGGACATGCAGATTCTCTTAGAACAGACTCTGCCCAGATTATGTCCGTTTTGGCGTGCCATAACATTTGATAAGTCTTACCATCTCTGTACGCTGTATATATTATCCTGAACGAACTTCGTCTACCGACACCCTTAGCTTTAAATCTGACATATGCCAGATTTGTTATCATAGCTACATATGGCGCAGACGTACTGCAGTATTGAACTCTCTGATAACTGATGTCGTCACTGCTTACTCTTTCGTACAGTGTTATAGAATTATCGGTGCAACTGTGAGGTCTCCTAAGGTTGAACACGTCGAATTTGAATAGAATCTGTTAAAAAAGAACAACAAATTAGGAAGCGCTTGGCTTACATCATCATCGCCACCACTACCAACAAAACATCTTAATCATCATCTCTTCATCATCATTATTTTCCCCTCATTATCATCATCATCATCATCACAATCAACATCATAATCATCAGCATCATTATCATTATGATCATTGTCATCATCATCATCACTATTTTTATTATTAATGCTATTAGGCCTAAAAAAATGAATTGTTTGTTTACCCATTTTTGTTTTTTTTTAACTGATAAAAAGGGGCAGGTGGAATTTTTTTTTAATAGTTTTTCCGTCCCTATCATTTTCAGTGAGTTAAGGGCGGGTGGAGAAGGGCAAACAAACAAACAATTCATTTTTTTGGCCTTATCATTAAAAATAATATATTTATTCCATTTTTGGTATTACAAATTAGTTCCGTACCGTACCCAATAACGACGTATAGTATACCTTATAAAAATCTGGTAGGAATATTTCCCATACGCATTCGAGTTCGCCGTCTGCTTCAATTGGGAATCCTGTCATATTATACAGGGTGTGGACCTCTGATGAAGAGATAATACCGTCTTTTTCATATAATGAGAATACACAATCTATAAAGCAGATGTATAGAGAAAATATCGTTAATACTAGCATGTGAATTCATAACAAAAATACCATGTGCTTGGATTCTATGTATAGGTAGTTATAATATATCGGTCTATATATTATACATTTCAGTTGCAATACACACGTTTTGATGACGTCAGTACAGAGGCACATTATGACATTACATGTGAGTTTTACTATCAAATTCAATCATTACAGGCAGGTATTCCTTGAATTATTAAAACGCTCATATAGTATTACAAAGGTTATACTGCTAAAAAAATTATAAATTTGATTGGCTACTACAAGTTCTGACACTTGATCGCAAAATCTCTATTGCATTATGTTCTTAGTGTTAGCGGCGTAATAGATATATTAATATATTAATTATCGACAAGAGTCTGGTAATGGTTTACCGCGTAGCTCAGACACGAAGAGACCCTTAGGGAAGAAGAAAGTTACTACTGTACTGTAGTTCACGCTTCGAGCTCTCTGATCTTCATGAAATAGCGTTATATTAGTGTTGTAATGTATTCTTCTCTCTAGATCACTGGTGGGCAATGTGCGGCCCACCAGAGAATTTTTTGCGGCCCGCGAAATTGAAAAAAAACCCCTATTTTTTGGGCCCGCCAAGCAACATTGGATAGAAAACACCTTTTTGACGACCTGACACCGATCATGTAAAAAGTATCATTAAAACTAAGAAAAAGTGGTGTAAAAGCAGTGCTTGAAGGTTTTTGGAAGGTCACTGGAAAAATCAAAATTTGGTTGCGGCCCTAGGTTTTAAATCAAAAATTCAGTTTGGCCCTCCAACTGATTTTTATGCCCACCCCTGCTCTAGATAAAGGATAAAGGACTTTTCTAAGCCGAGCCTAGAAGTACATTCGTGAAATTACTTAGGGCCTGCAATGTGAGAATGCTGGTAAGAGCATTTTACCAGAGCGCAGTACAAGGAAGGAATTAGAGATGTTTGTTGGATTGTCTAGTGACATGCAATATTTGAAAAAAAAAATGAGTTTCTAAATACCTGGTTCTTGGAGTTCGGATACAGATTGATCGTCTGCTAAAAATAAGGAAATTAAAAAGAGATGGTTGATCTGTTTAAACTCATTTAGGTATTTTTAAGGTTATGATGATAGCGCAGAGTACCGTAGGTCTTAAGTCTTTAAGCGATTAACACCAATGACCATAGTCTAAATTGTAAAGATGTTTATTTTCGGTTTTTACCATTAGCAATATAAATCATAGAAAAATTTGTGAATAAGAAAAAACGTTTGATAGTTATAATTTTGTACTTCTTTATTGTTTATTTTAGTTAAATTTCTTGTTTTGCGTGTGTAAAATAACAATTTCAACCTGCGAGCTGCTTGTTTTGGTAATTTTTTTTATACCGGAATAAATAAATAAATGCCAGTGGATAATACAGTAAATGATATCGACTTAAGCCAGGTTTCCATAAAAACACCACACGCTACCGCCGAGGTTTCAACGCCGCTGACTGGTCGGCCGAATAGAGAAGCCTTCCCTATATGTGTCGCTGACAGTAGCGTTCCTATGCTGACAGCTCCGTAGTGCACCGATTGCGATAGAGACAGTGTAGTCTTTACGCAGTCGCTGTGTAACGATTGCACTCAAAAAAGACTGTAGCAAAAGTCTAGCGATTTTATGGAAACTTGGCTTTAGTCCCGCATAATATTCTTTCAAATTAGGGCTTAAATTATAGAAAGCAAAGTCGATAATTTCAAACTACCGCTGTATCAATATTAGATAAAATAGGGTAATTGTTTTCTTTTAAATTTCAATTTGATGACCTCAAATTATATGTAATATTTAAACCTATTTAAACATAAAAACTCGTATCACGATGTGATTATTTGTGCATAAATAATATTACAATATTATTACGATAACTAATTTATTTGATTTTTGTCTTTTAAGTATTAGAAATGTTGTTTTATACGTGACTTACTTTCAATAAATTCATAGAAAGCATGGAAGCCATTTCCATGTATCATTGTATCGGCTAAAAAATATGCCCAGGCGTATCTTCCAGTTGTTCGGAAGGACCTAGGACGTCCTGAACCACAGAATCTTCCAAGAAGTGGCGAGAATCCAAATCTACCATCTCTGATCTCTAATCTATCGAACTTGCAATTGTCTGAATATTCCATGTCAAGAGGTGTCGGGAAGGAAAACTGAATGATGTGATTTTCTGGGGCTGAAAATGAGAAAAAATTATGAAGTTACATTAATACACAATCATGACGGAAAAAAGTAATGAAGGCCAAAGTCAGGCAAATTTGACTAGGTAGAATTAGAAAAAAAAAATGTGCTTATTTAAAATGCTGGAGACAAATTGTTGGCATACAAGTTTTTAGAGGTTTTAAGTGGTGCTGAACTCACTCTGCTGTATGCCAAGCTAAAACATGACCTGAAAGCCTCCAAATCCAAGATGGCCGCCAACTATTGATATTTGCCGTAACTTTCACAATATCCCACATAGAACAACAGTTTTTGAATCTATAGCTATTGGAAGAGTTGCATATAGTGGCACCACTAAAAGTCAAATTCAGCCACTAGTAGTCGCAGAAATCTGACCGTTAAATTTTAATATTGACCATAACTCCCATAATATTCCGCAGGCCAACAGTCTTTGAATCTATTCACCAACAGCTAATTTCAGCCCATAGCAAATAAAAAAAATCCAAGACTGCGGCCAAAATATATGCCAAATTGGCTGCCAAACATTGACCATAAACTCCATAATATTTCACTCCATTATAGACTTTATATTTGGAATACGTAGCGGCCATTTTGGGCGGCCATCTTAGACTTCTGCAACTGCTATTGGGTGAATTTGACTTTTGGTGGTGCAACTGTATGACCCAACAACATCGCAAATCATACTAAAAAAACACTCTTCTATATGCAATATTAAGAGAGTTATGGTCAATATTATAATTTAGCGGCCATTTTGGCGGCCATCTTGGATTTCTGCAAGCTCTAGTGGCTGAAATTGACTCTTTATTATGTCACTGTATGCCCCGACACATCAAATCATAGACTAGACCCAAAAATAAAGAATGGCAAATATCACAATCTGGCAGCCATTTTCCGGTCATTTCTGAGCTTGGAACACGGCAGATATGTGTTCAGCATCACTCAAAACCCCTAGAAAGCTTGTATGCCATAAATTAACACAATTGATGGGGGAGGGGGGCTCGATGACCAATTGAGGGGCGCTATTTCGCAAAATAAGGTGATTTTAAGTGATTTTTAACTACTTGACCGTGATTTTTTTTGGGGGGGGGGTACTGGGGGACCCCGCACACCCCTAGATACGCCACTGTTGCCTTAGGAAGTCATATTTTTGGAAAATTGACCCAGTCAAATGGACTTTTTCGGAGTATTAATTATACTTAACAACAAGCAATAGAACAGACGTGGCGAAACCTTTTCGCTTGACATTACGAATTAGTCATTTGTGAAACAAAATGATAGGCTATGCCAAACATTAAACAGTGGCGGATTCTAGGGGGACCCAGTCGGCACGGACCCCAACCCCCCTAAATTTTTCAAAATCATCCAAAAAAAAGATGGAGAAAACAGAAAATTTTATTCAAATTTAAATCTGAGAGTACCATTTTCGGCCATCTAGAGGTGACATAATCATATGTTTTCGTACCTAAGCCCCAAACATGGTGGGACTGAGGCGGGTGGACACTATATATGCAAGTCTCTCTCTGAGCCCCTCTATTTCGACTTCCTGGACCCGCCACTGTTGAAGTACCATTTCCGGGCTCCTACAGGGGTAATATTTATCCGTGGAGGGAAAAGAAAAGATTTCGTAGGGGAATACTATACCATTATTAAGGATACCCCTCACGTAATTAATACCGTAATTCATATTGATCGTGGAAGCAATCTCGACTTCGACTTTGTTGGGAAAATACAACAATTATAAAGTCATTTTACAGTAGCTACAAAATAACTAATACAATTCACTAAACTTCGTCAAATATCCATATCTAGATGTTCACTTCGCTCACATACGCCGTTGGGCATTGAATTGGCCGGTAATCATTTTTGCTTGGCAGGCATGTTATCTTTAAGGATTCTGACTTTCACCCCTGGAAAATTACGATAGTCCATAGACGTAAACTAATGTCTACACTCACCTATAAAGAGATATTCTTCCTCATCGTTTTCTATGTAAGCTGATGGGTAGTAAGGACTAGAAAAGTTACCTGACATTTCCTCGTACATGCTTACGTACGGTGGTAATTGGTAACTCCCTGGTTCCGGAAAATCTGAATTGCTTGACGGGTTGTCATCTCCTAAAACAAACATGTAATTTGAATATGATTTATATTTGATTCTCATCCAAAATAGTGGAGCTCTAATACGGTACACCACAATACCATGGACCTCCAAACTTACCTAGCCAATCGGAACATGTTATTCAATGACCATGACGCGCATGTCCTACAAACACATGCATATACCGGTACGTCATGCTTAAGTTGTAGTTGCGTGGGAGCTTATTATCAACATTCAAGAGACAGGATTAAGCGGGTCCATTCATCTAAACATTATTATGTTATTTAAGAACTGTGTTAATTCGATGATGGCACTTTAAACCATTGCTATAAAATCGATTGTCAAATTTTAAATATCGAAATTGACAAAGATGAAAGTGAGACATTTTTTTACTTATAACGCGCTTACAATATTTTTCCAAAGTTAATTTGTTACCGATAAATAATAATTAGGCCTATTTAGTCATTTTAAATGTATATTTTTGTATTCTACCATTAAGTTCCTGTATTATTATTATTATTATTATTATTATTATTATTATTATTATTATTATTATTATTATTATTATTATTATTATTATTATTATTATTATTATTATTATATACTGTATTGTACGACTTGTATTTGTATGTACAGTATGCTCACATAGAAGTTAATAAAATTTGATTGATTGTCTACTGATGTTGAAACCACAAGTAAAGTACTTGGGCATAGTTATCAATAACATGGTAATTATTTATCGGTAACTTTACCAAGGTATGATCATTACTCAGGCTGTCGTGTGTCACTGTCGACTTAATGGAAATTTTACGTAAGCCGCTGTGTGTCCCATTAAAACGTGTGACATGTATCAACACAGGCACATGACCGGAGTTGAAGGATGATTTTCTTTTCAATAAGCATGTAAATCATATTTATTTATTTCATAATTTTTAATTAATCAATATACTAAATAATAGTTTATTATTCCTACATTAATTATTTATTATCATGCTTGAATTAATAAATAGTAATTAGGATAAGTAAGTTTAATTACCTTCAACGTTCTGACTTGTACCATGAAAGAAGAGTAAGAATAACACTGCTGCAATAGGTAAAAAATATTAAATTTCTTAAAAGAATGTTATTGCATTCGTGTTCATTTGGTCATTATTACTGTAATAAAGACCACAGACGCAAAAATGCTCAGTTTCGGGTGGACGGACCACACTCATATACACGTTATTTAAATATAAATTAGGCCAAACACAATAATAATAAAAAAAATGAACAGATCAGTTGTGCATGCCCAATTTCAGATTGTTCAAACAAATATTATGTCGATAGCTATAAAATCATTCTCTGAAAAAGTCAGCACGTTCATAAGGTAGAAACGCTACAGATGAAAAGATTGGTTGATTTTACCTAAGAAGAACGGATACTGCTAGCGGTTAGCGCTAACCGATCGGGCGTTCTCAAAACGGGTGCTAAAGGTTAGCTATAACGAGCTCTCGATCCGGATACTCGGGCTAGAGTGTGAACCTGATCTATGTTTAATTTGAGTAATAGCACCACTTATTGTGAAAATCGTACCATAAGATCGTTAAGTCGTACTACATATTTTTAACTCACCATTAACATAAATACACGAACGCATAACACGAATGTACAACTTAAGTATTAAGATTCGAATTTATTGGATAGACACTTTAATAGCAGTTAAGTTTCATGGCATTGTGCATCCAATTTAACAAAACATTAAAAATGAATATTCAAAATTACAAACTATTTTGTAACTCCAAATAAATAATAACAAATCAATATATTAAAACAATAGAGCACAGAGCTCAAAATTGTGCTCAAAATATTATTAAATATTATAAAATACAATATAAAATATAATATAAAATATTAAATATTAGGTAGGTCTATAGCTATATTAATTGTGCAATAGTAAAATGTATTAAATTGTGATAGAACGTACATACGACATTTTCGATATTTTTCATGTGTATGTTTTTACTCAAATATTTTTGACAAAAACAATTTATGGTGACATCATGACTATATATAGGCACATCATGACTATATATGGGCATACAGCATTTTTGTTTTGTCAAAGATAGTGTGACAGTGCGAACAGCTGCTTTACCGTTAGGCCTACCTAATCATATAACATAAATGCACGAACGCAAGATGGATAACTTTATTTCACTATCCAGGTTTATTTGACACTTTAAAAAGATTTGCACACAGGCGCCTACGTGGTACATACAATGTAGCAAAACAATAAAAATAAATATTACCAAGTAAGAACAATTTCACATTTCAAATAAAAATTAACAAATCAAAATAAAAAAGCAATCAGTACGGAGACACCGAGTCGGGCTGAAAATATTTGTACACACAGTATAAATAACCAGGCCTATCGAAAATTCGGCCTATATATTATTATTGGTATAATTGTGTAGAAAATTAGAATCCATTTTTTTGTTTATTTATTCTTATTTTATTGATTAAGCTTAAGTTATTATCAATGATTTGAATAGCTATGATAAATGTGTATACAAGGACCTTGCATATACAAGTTTTAAGTTAACATGTACCGTACTTAATTTGCACATTATTGAGATCTGGATTATTCCATTTTATGTAGAGGGATTTTTAGATTTTTAATTTGATTTTATTTTTGTCACTATCCACGGTATTAAAACATTTCTTATCTAATAACAAATTGCATCACTGTTTGTATTGAGATGTTTTAATACCTGTAAATGTTTATCCTTCCTTAGGTGTTTTGATCCTGTTGTATAATATATTGGGCGGTACTGTTATTATTAGCGTGTTTGATCTCGTACTCCATCTAAGAATTAAGTTGAGTTTACTAAAGTCATTCTAATCTTCCCAAAGCAGATGCTAAATAGATATCGAGCAAAACATGATGTCAGAACTAAGTGGAGCCATTTTATAAATCTCCCAAAAGTAATTTATAGCCCCAGGAGGAATTGTTTCGTAAGATTTGAAAATGTATATCTCTAAGCGAGCGAATGATTCAGAGTTGAACTTTAGACCTACACAATTGTATTAACGGTCGATTCTATTATATAAAAACAAAAATTGTATGTCAAATGCTTAAAAATTTAACCAAACAATATTCTTGCCTGAGATGTGTTATACCTTCCATAACGACCTGTGCATAATGACTTTCGCTATACATTTTATTTTTAAGTTTTATAAATGTAAGCAGCATTATATATACACAATGAATTTCTTGCTTACGTCTTAATGTGGTAGTAATTAAAATACACTTGAATTTATTGTTGAAAGCATTCCTCAATCGGACGGTCGATAATTTTACATCATTTGCCTCTGACGGGTTATATTTCAGTTAATTTATTAGTTTAAAGTGACATTTCGTGTTTCTTCATTCATCTAAATATGGAAAAATTGTATTTGCTTTTACCAATTTTCCAAGAAAATAATTAATTGTGTATTAAATACGGCTGAATGGCATTTAATGCACTGTAATATAACAATTTTGGTTCTACATTGGCCCATGTTGAAACTATGAGAAACATAATAGGGTAAACAGCGACCTCTTTAGTATATAGTGCCACCATAAAAATTCCAACTATGACCAAATTCTAAATTAATAGCACAGTAGTCAACCAAAGATAAACTAAAACTGGGCATACATTAAACAAACGCATGCATACAGCACACAGGAACCATGTTAATATGCAAGGTGTATCTGCATCATTATTACGGTAACGCACAGTGTTATAATATTTTGTAATAGGTTGCCCATTCGTTAACTCCTGTCAGACTATCACATTTGATTTTACAAAAACATGTGACATGCCTAAATATGGTCATGATAACATCATAATTATGATCATATATAGGCACATCACAACTATATATGGGCATACAACAGTTTTTTTGTCAAAGAAAATGTTTGAGCAGAGCTTTACGAATACTTTTCTCTGAAGTACCTGACACTAATGCAGAGTTGACTGGACAACAATAAAATGGAACAGTTTTCAGTTTTTGTTCAGTTGCTATACACCTAACGCACTACTAATAACGATAATTACACTGCGTTTACGATTCAAATGTAATAACCATAAATTGTATATAATTAATTTTAGATGTCAGAAGTGTCTCTTTAACAGTATACTATGGTGTTATTTTCCAGTATTAATGGTTTAAACCATGTTTTTATATAAGAACACTGGACATACTGTATTCAAGTGTAGATATACACATACAATGTCTCATTTTTGCGTATACAAGTCTCGATATCATCCAATTAACATTCTTCCGGGAAGAGAGAATATTTAGCTGAATGATATATAAAGTAAGGACATATTAAGTGATAGACTTTCAAAGGCATCATACGTATGTAGTCGAATTACAGGCCTGTAAGATAAAACTAGAATTATGGGGTCGGCCGACTCCCTTTAAAAGCGAACCCTCTCTGATAAACCAACAAACCCCTTCTCCGTGCGTAAATAGTATCAAAAGAATGAAATTTACCGTTTACATGTTAGAATGGTTCAGCAATATTGTGTTTTGTCCCTGACACCCCAAAAGCTCTTCCCTGTCTTCCCTAATTTAACAGGGAGCCTGGGCGTCCCTTGGTATTTGGCTACGACTCCCTTAATGAATCTTGTAATTTTGAATTATTTGCACTATTGCTATTAAGGGGGGGGGGGGGTCTATATAAATTTGCTTTGAATACATTCCTATATTGAACAACAGTGATGTTTTGCCCTACCTAACGTGTTACCGTACCGAATACTCAAGTGAATTCGCAAGTGATTCGGGTAGGAATCGAAACCACGACCTCCAGGTATCTAGTCTGGGTTCGAATCCCACCCGAATCACTTAATGTATTCGGTACGATAACACGTCAGGTAGGGAAAAACATCACTCCTATGGTATCTTCCTGACGCAAATTCATATCTTTATAGCACTTGCAGTACCCGCTGTTACTACTACCTACTAGGGGATCGGATTCATTACTTCTCACCAAGCGTAAGTTCGGTGGTCTAGTGGTTAAGATATCAGGCTAGATACCTACAGGTCGTGGGTTCGATTCCAACCCGAATCATTTGCGAATATATTTTCTGTTGCTAGTATTTGCGGACGCGTCAGGTAGAGCAAATCATCACACCTATGATATTTTCCTGACGCAAATATCTTTATATTGAACAGCACACCTAGGATTATGTCTTACGGTGCCGTGATACCCTATCATGTGTATAATCAGATAATACCACCATTTTCATAACACAAATTAGTAAACAGTATGAACAGAATATAACGGAATATAACGTCATATTCCAGTACAATACATTTGATTTTACAAAAACATGTGACATGCCTAAATATGGTCATGATAACATCATAATTATGATCATATATAGGCACATCACAACTATATATGGGCATACAACAGTTTTTTTGTCAAAGAAAATGTTTGAGCAGAGCTTTACGAATACTTTTCTCTGAAGTACCTGACACTAATGCAGAGTTGACTGGACAACAATAAAATGGAACAGTTTTCAGTTTTTGTTCAGTTGCTATACACCTAACGCACTACTAATAACGATAATTACACTGCGTTTACGATTCAAATGTAATAACCATAAATTGTATAAAATTAATTTTAGATGTCAGAAGTGTCTCTTTAACAGTATACTATGGTGTTATTTTCCAGTATTAATGGTTTAAACCATGTTTTTATATAAGAACACTGGACATACTGTATTCCGAGTGTAGATATACAAACTAAAATGGGTTATAATGTCTCATTTTTGCGTATACAAGTCTCGATATCATCCAATTAACATTCTTCCGGGAAGAGAGAATATTTAGCTGAATGATATATAAAGTAAGGACATATTAAGTGATAGACTTTCAAAGGCATCATACGTATGTAGTCGAATTACAGGCCTGTAAGATAAAACTAGAATTATGGGGTCGGCCGACTCCCTTTAAAAGCGAACCCTCTCTGATAAACCAACAAACCCCTTCTCCGTGCGTAAATAGTATCAAAAGAATGAAATTTACCGTTTACATGTTAGAATGGTTCAGCAATATTGTGTTTTGTCCCTGACACCCCAAAAGCTCTTCCATGTCTTCCCTAATCTAACAGGGAGCCTGGG